GGATAAGATGACAGTTTTAAAATCTAATGTCAGATTGTGGAGGGGAAAGATTGATAACGGAAGCTTTGCTTATCGAATCAACTGCAAACACGTGTAAACAGGAATGATTCAACACCTTTCCTAGAAATCTGGAAAATTCTACTATCCCAACGACGACAAATAAGAGAGGATAAAGAAAACTATAAAACTCAAGTTTTAAAGTTGTGTGATTAAAACTGATGAAATGATTATGGATAATAAAATAAATTGTTATTCAAGTGTTGGTTTGTAGGGATTTGATTGATTTCAGGATTTCATCATGAGCTGACATTAGTTAGAGAACCATTGGAAAACCTGCAGGGAGTACTGGACGGCTGTTTCGTCCTAGTTTGGGACTCTTCAGCAGTACGCACCCACCGGGATTCGAACCCAGGACCTTCCGGTTACAAGGCGAGCTCGTATACCATTAAGCCACTGGGACCCGATCCAATGGTCCTTGAATTCTAACTTCTGCCAATTCACGACATAGCGCGACCACTAGCCAATGTCTTCGGCGAGTATTTGTCCTCACACCCGACCAGCTGCACCCTACTGGTCACGACTTCCCACTGGAACCCAGGTAACTACCTACCTGAATAGGGCCAGTCGCCAGTGAGCATCTTATTGGTATTCAAGCTCGCCTTGTAACCGGAAGGTCCTGGGTTCGAATCCCGGTGGGTGCGTACTGCTGAAGAGTCCCAAACTAGGACGAAACAGCTGTCCAGTACTCCCAGGTTTTCCAATCGTTCTCTAACTGATGTCAGCTCATGATGAAATCCTGAAAATAAATTGTGTTCAAAACTTTGTCATCCAGTCAATACTAATACTGTTTCACTGTGTGTGATATATCTAATAAACAAACTAATATGGAAATAATCTAATGTATTATTGTCATCAGTATCATGCTCTGTTGTCACAGATAGCTAAGTATTATCATAATCCGTTTTCTTTATAATACAGTTGCAAGGAGACCACCAAATATACCGTTTTGTCAAGTATCTCCTCCGAATATACACTTTATATAAACTTTAAAAAGGATACACTATTCTAGATTGTGAGAACTGCTGATAGAATAAACCACGTCCCATGCTGAAGCATAATACTAACACTCAGAAAGTATTTCCAGAATGAACATAGGTGTACATTACCTAAATCGGAAATATGCAATGCACTCATACTATAAAAAATTTGGTGTGCCCTACTGACAAGATTTATCAGCAGTATGTAAACAAACGTTCATCGGCACAAAATATCAAGTAGCAGTGAGATGGATTTCCCGTCAAAGTGAGCAGATGAACCAATCAGTACATTGGGGTGAAACATAGGACACACACCAAAAGAAGACAAAGAAAGAATACAATACGAAGGGGTAGAAGTAACGCGCAAAACGGAATATCTGTGCAAATAAATGGTATACATAATTTCCCTATAGGCGTATATCAAACTTGAAAAATAAACATTCCGTTACCAAGCCTCTTATCTTCTACAGTTACATTTGGTGTAACTTCCTCTACCTAATGAAAATCCCATGCAATGCTGCTTTCAAAAAAAAAGGACTTCGACGAGTTAATGGGCGTCAAGGATCTGGTGGCGAAGTCAGTAGTGCTGGATACGTTCTGATCTCCCCTTCTCTGCCTATATACTGAATTATCCTGGTTTCGGCTGCTTTGAAACTGATTCAAGCCTTTCAGCTTAGTCGATTCAACTGCACTACTAAGTGAATTTACCCCTCAAACTATTGAAATAGCTAGCTAGTAAGCCAGCTTATTGAAATGGCCTCCAATTACCTATGTCAATCAATAGTATATCTCAAAAACGAAACATATCATTGTGTATTAACTGTTGAAATATAATTATAATTTATTTGATCTATTTCACAATGCTCAAACGTTTTTCTGACTATAATATTTTAGATCTCTTAAAAACGGAATATACACTTTGGGTCATAGGAGTTATTGAGAAGACAATTGCAGCGAAGAAAATTTTCTTTTCGACGAAGTTATCATCTAGGCTGTACATTCGTGTATTTATATCAAATGGATGGGAAAGTTCCAGAATAATTTCCGGTTAAGGGGCAAATTAATAAAAATTACAATTAGGAATTAAAATGCCATAATAAGCAGGGGGACGGATAAAAGTCAAACAAAGTAGCATCATGATAGCTAAGAAGATTGACATTGTGCAATTAGGGGTTAGAAATGTAGAAATAACAACAATAGATAGACATGATGTTTGGATAAAAACTAATGTGATGAATAATTGTTTATGCAATCAGAGATTAAATATGTGGAAATAGTAAAATGACAAAATAAACACGAAGTTCGGATATGAAAATATGGTAGTGTGAACAGGGATTCAGAAAAACTTAAAAATAACATAAATAAACAGGAAGTTTAGATAAGAAAGACGATGGGACGGTCAATACTAAATAATTACCTGTTTATGATGGCCATGGTAGGGACGAGGGTTGGACGTATTTCTTTTGAATGCAAAGCGTGGGTTTGAGCTTTTGTATAGCTAGCACCTCGACTATGCCCAAATATCTTGATTTCACTCCCTTTGATAGGTTTGACTGAATCTTGTATATTACTTTGAAGGATTTTTCGGAAGGCGCTGAATGTCCTGAATTGACCAGATGTTCTGTCACTGAACTGTATACACGCTTTTGGTCTCCTTTTGCTAACCAGACTGAGCGCGTTTTCAAGTCGGCGCATGGTACGGCCAACGTACTCAGCTCCGCCAGAGAGCAAGTAAACTGGTATATGCATGTTGAGGTGGCCCAATGCGACAGTTTGTCTTTCGCATTCTGGCTGAACAGTTTCTTGCAGGAAAACGTCAGTCGTAGGCTGGCGACGAAGTATGTTTTCCTCAGCGATTTGGAGAGGCATTGGCGAAGGATTTCTGCTTCAATATCACCTTTGAATTCTAGATTAAGCAGAAGCATTTTCTTTGGAACGGATTGGACTTGTTCAGAAGTCTTCTTAGGTTTGAGATTCTTGTCTATGACCTGGGCGGGAAACCGTTTTCCATCAGGGTTTTTTCGAAGATTACGCAGTTCTTCTTCAACTACTTCCTCACTGCATATCTTCCAAATCCTCGAGGAAAGAGCGTATATCAGGTTCCTCTTTTTGTTCAGGGGCACGAAGTTTTGAAAGTTGATGAATTATCCATTCCATGTAAGCTTTTTGTATATGGACCTTTACACAGAGTTGTCGGCGTTTCTTGTCAGATGGACGTCGAGGAAGTGGAATATTCCGTCAGATTCAGTCTCAAGTGTAAAGTCGATGTTTGCGTGGGCATTATTGAAGATTTGAAGTAGGTTTCTTAAATCACAATTCTCATCACAAATAATGAAAGTATCGCCGATGTATTATTATTCATCACATTAGTTTTTATCCAAACATCATGTCTATCTATTGTTGTTATTTCTACATTTCTAACCCCTAATTGCACAATGTCAATCTTCTTAGCTATCATGATGCTACTTTGTTTGACTTTTATCCGTCCCCCTGCTTATTATGGCATTTTAATTCCTAATTGTAATTTTTATTAATTTGCCCCTTAACCGGAAATTATTCTGGAACTTTCCCATCCATTTGATATAAATACACGAATGTACAGCCTAGATGATAACTTCGTCGAAAAGAAAGTTTTCTTCGCTGCAACTGTCTTCTTAATATCTTCAAAAAATTTGAAGTCCCACTTATGGTATCATATGGATCACGAACTGATATTTGAATATTTTGGTTTCTCAGCGTAAACTGTGGTGAAGTTTCACGTCAGAATGTCTGGTTTACAAATGATAAATTCGAGTCTACGATCACGCAGCGTTATTAAAATAGGCCACTTACCCTTGTATCAATTCAACTAATAAGTGATATCTAAGAGTTGGTCTGAAGGGATTTGTTTCGTTTTAAGGTTGACCACGTATTGGTATGAGTTAAAAAAAACACATTGAAAACCAGTACTGGACAGCTGTTTCGGACCCCCCTAGTTTTGGACTTATTGGCGGTACGCAACCACCAGCGGGGTTCGAACCCACGACCTTCCGGTGACAAGGCAAGCTCGTAAACCATTCAGACACTGAGACCCGAATTAATGGCTCAAATATTCTAACTTCCACCCATTTTTGTGATTTTAGTGTGTGTGGTCAGTTTTTGAAATGAAAATTAATTCTACACTACCTGTCAAAAAAGGCACAGTCAGTAAGCACCGCGTCTAACAGTCATTTTAAATGTTTACTGTTCTGTTAGGCGTGTTTATTAAATATTTAAAACAAATTGATGATAACAGGAAAACAGACTGTACAAAAGGCACTACGGATTTAAAACCATCAACTTTAATTCGTTGCTCAAACTGAAAATAAAGTACATTGGATTTATTGAACTGCTTAATATATGCTAAAATTTGTAGCAGTGTAGTAATGTTCTTTTGGTGCCGTCGTCTTTCGTCAAATAGACGGTTCAGTTGTGCTTCCACCTGTACTAGAAATTCTAGCCACTATTCTTAAAATAAAGTGTTTTTATTCCTACTGAATATACGTATTACTTATGACAGGTGAACAGGTGACAGAATAACCTATGATACCTTTTGTGACTGTCGTATTCGCAATGTGAAATGTACATTTAAAACTGCAAAATACCCAAATTTCCCTCAGATGCCGTAGAATACGAACTTAACTTGTAAAGAAAGTTGTTTTTCAAAGTTTTACAGTATTGATGCGAATTTCGCCTTTGTTTTTTTTTTAATAATTTATCTTAACTGATATTATTCCAAAATTGGTGACTTAATCACCTCAGTGAAATATATTCACACCGATAATATGTATGTGTCTTACTATAATGGATTTATTCTTATCATATCTCAATTTTTGCGTGCAGAAGAGACTTTGTTTAAAAAAATGTATATATATTTAAAAGAAAAATCACCACCGTGTTCAATAAAACATCTCATGGCCTACTCATCATTTTAATGTATTCAAGGTATGGAAACGTTTCGACAAAGACAGAAGTGGATATATTGAAGCAGATGAATTGAAGGTGAGTTACACGAAAATATTTAATGATCATAGTTTCTATGTATTATTGAAGTAAACACAGACGGGATGTAAACTTTTCCACACATGAAACTAGAAAATTCCAGCTCAAATAAAAATCTCATACTTGTGGTCTCCTTCATAAATTTCGATAAAGAAACAAAGATCAGATTTGCAGCATAAACTTATGTGATCATTCTATCTCAAAGTTTCTCGTCAACTGCTGCAAGCTACCTGAAATTACAATCGTTATAAACACAATGACAATAAGATACTTCACTGTTTGAATGGCAGTAGAAAAAATATTATAAAACTGGTGCTTGGGAAATGAGAGCATTACAGTTGGATTTAGTTTATTATTATTGTTTTTCTTCTTGTTCCCTTGGGTTCCCAGTGGAACAAAGGGCTTCAACTGCACGTCTCCACTTGCCACTTCTGTCTTCCTTCTGCCGTACTTTTCACCTGAATCCATCCATGTTAGTCCATACTGTTTCAACTCCTCTTCACATGATCTCCTCCATGTCACCCTTGCACTGACGTCCCAGTCACTGCTTCCCTTTCGGGTTCCACTCGAGCAATGGCCTGGCGCGCGATGTCACCCGGAGGCCTCCTTAGCGAGTGTCTAATCCATCTCCACTTTCTCCAGCATACTTGTTGGTTGGCGATTGGTTCTTGTTTTGTTTGTTCCCGTATTTTGGTTAGTTGTTGGTGATTCTTTTCAGCCCGGCCATCTGATCTTCAGTATAGAGCCAGTGAAGACAGTTGTTGATAAAGGTAACGTCTGCAACAGGCTGTTGGAAATATTTTATTGTGACCCGTCCGCCCACCAAGTTTCTGATCCATTCTTTACAGAAGAACTGACTGACTTGACATGTTTGCATTGAAAATCCTACCGAATTTTGTTGTTGATGCTGGCTGAGTGACGAAGATTTCCAGATTGGTTTCAGGTTGACGAGTGAATGTGTTTCTCGCCTTCCCGATTCTTGCTCGATTTGTTATCCTCGTCCGTTCCGACTTTCTGTAGTTGAGACAATGCTCCCTAGATAAGTGAATGAAGTCACCTCTTTCAAATCCCTCCCGTTGATGGTGACTGGCACTGGAAGTTGCTCTTGTTGTTGGTTGGTTGGTTATTTTCATCACCTCCGTCTTGTCTATGTTCACCTGGAGTCCTGTCTTTTCTGGCTGTTTCTTCGATCAGTTTGTCGGTTTTTGCTTGTAAGTCTTCGATTTTGTTTAGTTACCATCAATTTATATGCTTTCAAAATAGAAAAGGACTAGAGGAGTGAGGTGAAGATTGGAAAACAGGAAAACCTAATGAGCCAAGTTAGCTTTTAGGTTTACATAGCAACTCAAAAACGTTAGAGTTCATAAAACTGGAAACGCGCTCAGTGAGCTAAAATCACTAACGCAGATGTCTAATCAGTATGTAACAAAAATGCAGTTACCAAGGGAGTGAGAGAGTGATTACTATCTCTTTCTCTATTCTGCATAAGTTTGGTTTGAAACGCTTAATTGTAACTACTTCAGCAAATCAAACAGTAAATTTTCTTTACTTGTTTGTAAGTTTAATATTTTGAAGGGTTTGGAAATCTTGATGAAGTGACCCGCATTAACAAGATGTCTAGTAATTGCACTTTGTGTGAATATCTGGTTCCTTTTAGGTATAAGTTTCTTGGGTTATGCCCTGAAAACCGGATAGAAGCTCTTCTTTCTATCCTTCATCGGTCGAACTGCTTTCCAAGGGTGTGAGTTGATGCAACTGAGACCGTTAGGTAACTGGGCAAACGTTGATACGAAACTGGAATTCGTCGACGTGATACATTTGCTTTTATAGGCATATTATGGGTATTACTAAGGGTACCGACGATTCCCTCCATGAAACATCAAGAAGAAATGAGGCGTAGCTTGAAACTTCCTCATTATTCAAGTTCATTATTCCACAGAAGACTAACAGTTCCCCTGACATTGCAAAATTCGAATTTTACACTGACATTTTATCAATGAAGATTTGATAACACAGTTTTCCTCAAGTAATTTCCTCAGATAAGTTAACTTATAAACAGTGAGGATTCTCCGAAACTGTTATTGTTATTCAGAAATCTCTACTTGTCACTTACATGAAGATATTCATCATTTGAGCTATTAAATTTGCTGGAGGATAAGTATTATTCGAACTAATTAGTTTCTAGGTTAATTTGCAATTCCCCATTATATTGGTCTTTGTTGAAGCCTTGACTCCCAGTAAGGTCTAGTATAATCAGTTAGTGACAAATGCAAATCAACTCAAAAACGAATAATAACTAATCTCCTTTGCAAAAGAGATGGATTTCCTGATTACCATGACCTAATGGATAACGCCCCAGCATTTGAACCGATGGGTGCAAGGTTCAAGTCTCAGTTGCAGCATTACCACTGGGGCTGGGTGCACTTCCGGCTGATGAGTCCAAAAAGGCAGCATTCTAGATTCCACTGCTAGTCACTACTGACCGAAGACTATGCGAAGCAGCATTTAACAAGAATGGCTCACCACAGAAAACTGATCAGATCCCTTTATGAAGCTAAAAAATATCTGGATTCCTAACATACCTGGAATAAAACAGAGAAAGCGATGACTAGGAGAAAAGTAGATGTAACCTATAGTTAAAACTATGAGTGACTGTGTGTGTGTGTGTGTGGGTCTATGACGAAACAATAATGTTATGAGTAGTATTCAGTAGACAGGAAAAGAAGAGAATTTTTCAGGATTTAACGCTACTGACTAATTTTCCTGTGAGTGGGTTTGATGCAATTAATGCATTTTTTACTCCTTCGTAATTTTAAAAGTTTACCCGCTTGTAAAATTCGTGGGCAAAAATTGTTTCTTTTTTGTAACAACTAAGAGCTGATCCACTTGAGTTTACGGTATTTTAAATAATCTATGAAGCGAAAGGGAAATTTATTCACTGTATGCCAGTTGTTGGCTTGATAAGTTGCCGTTTTAAACTAAAATGACCACTGGGGAAAAGGATAATATATTGAAAATTTAAAAAAAACGGACGAAGGGTGTGGAGTGATCAGCTGCCCCATCCCTACGTCTTACAAGGAAGAGACAGTACTGTTCTCACTGAAATGAAGGTGATGACGAATTTCCTGGAAGTAGCCCAGTCAGCAACCACACGCGTATACCTCTTTATAGAGCGGTACTGCTAGCCACACACCCAACCTTAGATCTTTACCAGACTTAATGCCAATTAAGCGAATTGTACGAGTGTACCGGCCATAGATCGAACCCCGGACGACGTGTGTAACTACTGACACAACAAGGCTCATTGTAAACCATTTATGTCCCTCAAGACAGGTTTCACAAAGCGTTGATCGCACTCACCTTTTGCATAGGTGCTCATGTTCAGCGAAATCATATCATGTTGTTTTAAGCCTCCTCTGTCTCAGCCGTAATCTTTATTTCTGATTTTTACACACTGTGGGTAAAGAATATCAGTAATAGAGCATAAAGTGCTTATAATTTTTTAAATTTATTAACTAAATAATTAAAGGTTAACGACATAGGGTAAGTAAGAAGAATAGGAACGAATTGTCCTTAAAAATATGATAAAATTTCCGGTCTTTAATTAAGTTCATGAACCTTATAAATGACTAAAATATGTTCAACAGGATCATTAGGAGGTAACATATAGATTTTTTACTACTGGTTGCAGACCACTAGCAAAATACTTCTCATCCAGCTTACCTTGTAAATGTATTTCACAAACAGCATGGTGCCATACTGAGTAAAATAAGATAACTTACTGCTGAAAGTCATACTCAGCAGTAATCATGAGTACTTCAAATATCTTGATTGAAAATGGTTATCCGGAAAAGCTACTAGATAATATTATCAATATAAAGGAGCATATAGGAAAACAAAAACTTGAAAAATCTTGGCTATCGACGATAGCCATTCCATATCTAGAGGGCACACACAGCTGAACAACTTCAAAGACTATTTTCTTCATATACTTTTAAAGTCTATGTGAAACCCTCTAATTCTCTAGAGAAAGCATTGGTGCATGTCAAGGATACAGTTCCCAAAATGTCACAAAGTAATTGAGTCTACAGGATAAAGTGTTCAGTGGCGGCCTGCTTAAATCTTGGGCTACCAAAATTTCCATCCTACATATTGCATCTATTTCCTCGGATTTATTTTGTTTTAATCATTCAATTATGTATCCAAGTCGCATTACTTACTCTCGCGATTATTTAAAATGTTTTCAACCTGTTGATTTACGAGTATATAATAACGTTAAGAAAAAGCATCATGGAGGTTGGCAGAGATCATTAAAGTGTACTCCAATGCATCAGATGACTGTTCCTGTGATTATGAGCACAAATTGCAGGTCATTATCGAACAAGATTAACTACTTGCATTCTCTATTATACTCAAATGTATATTGTAATACTGGTGTAATCACTCTTCAAGAGACTTGGCTCCATGATTCATATGACGATAATTTAGTCTCCTTAAGTGGGTTCACAATCTACAGACAAGACCGATGCAGCTCAAAGAAGAAGAGAGGTGGTGGTGTTGCCACTTTTATTAATTCTCAGTGGTCTACTGCCAACAACGTCTGCTTCAAATTCTCAAATGACAATATTGACTGTATAACTGTAAAATGTCGACCTAAACACTTACCTAAGTATAGCTCATTTTTGTCACAAATATCTATATCACACCTTGTTGCAGTCCCTCAGAACTATCTATCTTCGCTGATGAATTCACTATTTTTGCTGCTGCTTCGTTTGGTAACTCCTTATCTATAGTGACTGGCGACTTCAACTCCAGCGACTGCAGTTTTATTACATTGCTGGGCCATGAAAATGTTGTTAATTTCCCAACTCGACAAAATACTTCACTTGATTTAGTATTTATAAATGATTCTGGAATATACGAAGCTCGTAAAAGAGCCCCGCTCTTCAATTCTGATCATTGTATTGTACGAGTCTTACCCAAAATTTACGGAAAGTTACACAGTAAAGCCCTCTCAAACTTGTCTAAGAAAGTTGTTCACAGATGCTACTCAAATGAGAACGTACATCATCTTAGAAACATGCTCAGTGACACAAGATGGGATTTGTTTAATGATGATTCACTTGATGACAATATCTCTAATATTACATCCTATCTGAAATTCTGTTTTGAAATCTGTTGTCCAAAAGAAACACTATTCGTCAAATTTGACCGTTTCTCCTCGCCTCAACTTAAAAAGCTTCGTAGAGAGAAGGAAAAACTGTATAAATGAAAGATAAAAGTGGTGTAAAAAGAACTAACTTCTTAATTAAGTCTGAAATGCAGAGGTTGAATGTAATATATAACCAGAAATTCATATCCTGCAAAAATCCTTCTAATATGTGGAAACTATTTAAGGAAATCACTGGTGGTAAGCAGATAAACAATATTCCATATTCTTTTGATGTATGTACTCTTAACAAATCTTTTATTTACTCTCCCTCAAATGCCATGCTTCCCAGCATCACTTGTGTTAATAATAGCCCCTTTCCAGGTTTTAACACAAATGATGTTCAAAAGTGCCTCAAGTCTCTAAACCCTTCCCAGAGCTTAGGTCCCGATTATGTACCTAGTATTATTTTTAAAAAATGTTCTGATATTCTGTGTCACCCTCTTACTGATCTATTTAACAAATCTTTTTCCGATAATATTGTGCCTGCCGTTTGGAAGGACATTAAAGTTGTACCCATACCTAAATCTTCTACTGGAGCATGTGTCAAATTTAGACCCATTGCTATTACCTCTCCTTTTTTGAAAACTATGGAGAAATTACTTTTACTTAGTCTTGAACCTTCGCTTAAATCCTTTAATGACCCTAAACAATTTGCCTATAAGCACAGTAGAAGCACTTTAGATGCAGCTGCCGTCTTATATCATAACATTGCTTCCAGTCTAGACAAGGGGGCTAAATTTGTTCGTTGCGCCTTCCTAGACTATACATCTGCTTTCGACTCGGTCCCTAGGGACATCTTATTAAATAAACTTGCTGCTAGTCAAACAGAATGTTGGGCTGTTAACTGGTTACATTCCTATTTCTCAGATAGAAAGCAGTACACCGTATATAAAGGGAAGTCTTCCACTTCATTGCCTACTGAAGCTGGTGTCCCTCAAGGTGCTGTTCTTTCTCCTTTTCTTTTTTCTTTCTTCTTGCATGACTTGCCTCACTCTGATGAAATAAACTTTGTGAAGTACGCTGATGATTTAACGGTTTCAATGGCTGTTAACTCCCAGCTAGATTGTACTAAAATAAATAGCTTTCTATCGGAAGTCAGCAAATGGTCTGAGTCTAACGGTCTTAAACTGAATCCTTCTAAGTGTCAAACTGTTGATTTCAGCTTAAGATGTAAACGACAGTTAAAAGAAGTCATCGATTCTCATGACAGTTGTAAAATTGACGACAATGATATAGGAATCAAATCAGAAATTAAGTATCTTGGACTCATTCTCTCTTCTGATCTCTCCTGGTCTTCCCATGTCTTAGCAATCTCCAGTAAAATATTCCGCCTGACATTTTACATTAAGAAGTTAAGACACTCGGGTATAACTCAACCCCTCCTCTTACAGTTCATAAACTCTTGCATCCTACCTATTCTTCTTTATTGTTCACCCTTATTCTTTCCTGGTTTGCTTAAAAAGGACTATGTCACAATTCGTAGAATACTGAAGACTGTCAGTAGGGTGAGTGGTGTCCCAGTGGACCACATAGTTAACGTCGTTGTCGATAGGCACTTGACTTCGTGCAATAAATTTGCTAAAGGGATTTTGTCTGACTTGGAGCATCCGCTTTACCCTCAGCTTTCACCTTGCATCTCCTCAGGTAGAACAAGGAGTAACTTCAGAAAACTGTATGCTCGCACGTCTAAGTATAAGAATTCTATGATACCATACTTGGCACGTATTTTATGTGATGAAAATAGTGTCAGGCAAGAATTAACTAACCTTTTTTCATCTAGTAAATAAACAATTTCCTCCATCCATCCTTATATACCTTCAAGTTTTACTTTTATTACTTCTATTATATTTATGGTCCTGTTACTTCTCTGTTTTACTCTCATAATTGCAAACACCAACTTATCTCCATGACGGCTGTAATCTTTGTTTTTCCCTCACCATATCATGTAAAGAGAACATTATATTCAATATTTTTAAACATGTTAGGATTTCTATACCACATTGCCAATACTGTGTGACACAAGCCAACGGCAATTTTCACTTGTATTCTTATTATTATTATTACCCTAGCTGTTATCATTATTATTGCTATTTCCATTTTATATGCTGCATGTTTTTGACACTACCTCTATTGTAAATGTGGAAAATTTTCTGTGTGATTAATTTTATTTATAATTTGAGGAAATTAGATGCAATATTGTGATTAATGCTGAAAATTCCATTCTGTATCACAAGTACTGTTTCTGGAATAAAGTAAATCAATATTATTATTAGAATGTGATGCATGCTATCTACATAGGGGAGAGCAGTAGACAGGTGGAGGTCAGAGTGAATGAACATAGACTATGCACGAAACGTCAACCTAGAAATGAATTAGAATTAAAAAGTCTAGAAAAAAGATCGGCTATAGCAATGCATGTGATAGACAGCGGACATAATATTGATTTCAACAGTGTTGAAATTCTAGGAAGAAGATTTCATTCAACGCATCAAGAAAGGTTGACCTTTGAAGGCCTGCACATTTAAACCACATCGAATGCAGTGGATAGGAAGGAGGGAAGGTACAGACTTATCACCTACCGATATGGTAAACTCTTATCAAGCAAGACAGATGAAAAAGCAACAAACACTCTATCAGCCTCCATAACCTTTTAAAACATGTAGTAGTAATACTTTGATAAAGCTATTAGCAGCATTAAATAGCGAAACGTCAGTAAAAACAATAATGTTTTGTTTTTCATTCATTGGGAAATAAAAAAACCTTTATTATAATGAATGAAGTATCATGTTTATCTCATATGAATTCACGTATTTTCCATACGACAAATAGCATACATGCACACACACACACGCATAGAAATCTTATCTTTGCAAATCAACTTTAGAAGAGTGAACACAACAACAATTACAAATATATGTGATGACTGCTTACATATTTCTATTGGTAAAAATGGCCATGGACAAATGACCTTCAAGTAAACTAACTTCAATTCATGCACAAAAATTTTTTTTACACAGGAAGTAAAGTAAGATTGAGTTAGTAAGTTAGAGGACGTAATATAATTATTGAATTGAATTTTTGATTTTCCCGTCGATTGATTGGACCGAAGTGCTCGGTCTCAGGTTGACATGTCGGCTTCTTGTGCAGATGCTTCGACGATGTCTAGGCATTTTATTAGTATACAATTGGTGGATGGTGGCTAGCAGTGGAATCCAGGATGTGCATTACGTCTTATTTGGGACTGGTCATCTGGATGTACCTGCATTTCTTAGTGATTGATGATGATGTTCTCACCGAGGCTCGAACCCAGTGCCCATAGTTTCAAACGCCAAATTGTCTAAAATGTTTCATCTTACGTCAGGGTAGCAACAGAGGGAATTACAGGTGGAGACTAAGTAGAAGTGGGGTAGAGAATAATGCCATTTAAATCAGAACTGAAATTGAGCAAATAGGTTGGATGACGTAACATAAATGAATGACTAGGAATTGAGTGTTGGTCAGGTCAATAACAATGGTAGTGAGAGGTAAAAATTATTTCGGGTGGGGTTAGAGAACAAGAAAGTGGAAAATGTAAAATATTACAACTGAGAAGACAAAGTAATACCAATGAAGAGACAGAAAAAAAAGAGATAAGTTAGAATTTACTTGTCGGGTAATAAGATAGATTAAGCCCATTGCAAGTGTAGTGATTGAACGAACTTCTTCTAAGTTATATTACATCATCTAACTTACTAACTCAATCTTACTTTAGTTGCTGTCTTATTAACCTTGTTTCTATATTAGATCATTCTTTTATTACCTGATCAAAAAAATTTTTTGACTATATATTTTGATGATGAATAAAAATCGGAATTAATCTGCTGAATAAGCTGAGGCTTACACAGCGAAACGTTCAGAAAACAGATCTTGTTTCGATATTTTCTTAAACACGCTGGGATTAATTTAAATAATTTATAATGAATTGATCTGACTCGGCGCTCAAATTATTCCAGGAAGTTCGTAACACACACGGTCTGGAAACTTATAATCTTGGTTATATGTCCGACAGTTTATTTCTATTTTCAGTTGCGAAGCGGATATGTAACATTTTAGACCCACATGAAAGCATTTTGAAGATGAAATACGGTTTTCAGACACACACACTGACTTCATGACACATCCCTTTTTTGAAGTAGAGCTATCTGCCTTATCTGGTAGGCATTAGGGTGTTTCACTAAATAGGCCTAAAATCTACCGACATGATTTCAGGAAAATTCAATAGTATACGTTTAACTTTTCAACTCGCTGCCTCAATTTAATCCACCACATCGCGCAGATGTTAGTATCTTTTTCTTGCATTATTTAGTTATAGCTGTGAAAGTTGTTAGGAAGTTATTGAGCAAGTTTGTTAAATGAACGTCACAAAGAGATATTAATTAGTAGGTTTGTGAAAACTATTGGTCAAACACCAGAATCATGTGGTAACTCATCATGGTTCTTCTGCCAGCTGCTCAACTAAACAGTTAATCTCCCATTTGAATGTACACTTTAAGATAATATAAAATTCACCAAAGCCGGATAAAACAATGCCGAGTATATTTCTTGCCGAACTTTTCTATTTGAAATGGCTGTTCGGTATTTATTATTATAATGTAAACAAGGTGAATTTTAAATTTGTGCACTATTTCAAATTTTTTTTACATTTCAAACGCTACATCCATTGAATGCATATGATAACAAATAACTGTGTTGAACATTGAACAAATGAATATATACATTTACATACGTACAAAGTCATTCCTGCTTCACTTGCTTAAAGAAGCTAAACCGGATACGAATATTGAAGAAGGAAAATTAATAGAGTATACATCATCCATAGTAAGTTCTTTTTTTCTTTTTGAGTTGTGTTATTGTGATGTTTATGAAATGATAAATAGTGGTGGTTTAGTTCGAGATCCAATACTGAAATACTTGAATAAGAGAACAACCAGGAAGTGATTCTTATTTCTCTATTCTGCAACTTCAAAAGTACAGAATAAGTCTATAGCTATACTCATAGGTAATGTAGTGTACTTAAGCCGGAGAGGTAGTTCCAGCGCTGTTTTATTCCAAAATAATTAATAAAGTGAGAGATAAATTTACTCATCAGACCAAAACTACTCAAATCTAAACCGGATCCTAAAGTTCTCACCAATATGGTGTTCACTAGCATATTTTAAATGGTTGAAGACAATCGGCAGGAAGCCTTACATCCAGGTCCCGTTTCTGAGATTTTGAGGGAAACAATGTCCTTTAGGAGATTCGAATCCAGGTTACTCAGCAATACAGTTGAAGATATTAGTGTAACAACAGAAGACAAGGGCCAGACAACAGATCGTTTATTAAGGAAATCAACACATATTTATTGATTTTCATGTACATTATTGTGGATTATTGTCAGCAGAAAACACAGTTTTCTGATCTGTTGTTTCTCACTGAAAGTCAATCTTTCATCTCTTTGTGACTGTTTCTTGAATGAATGTCAGATCATCTATATGTTAACTGTGTCCGCCTACGCAAAGCCTTTGTTCTCATTTTTCTCACAACCAATATTTGGGTGGGACATAAACACTGACGTAAATTACTGTCTACCAATTTTGACTAACAGCCAGCTCTCACCACATTAGCACGTAGCCATTCGGGCTTGCGACTCATCTCTTGTAGGACCATAATGGATACTTTGGTTGGGCTTGGATTAGTAGTTAGTGTCAGACTTCGAGTGCTTCTTTTGGTGCTAACTGACATCTGTCAGTCAATACACTTCATTAGGTGGCCGACTGTCACGGTGCAGTATGTGCAATGTTTCCTGCCCATCGCTTCCAACTGTCTAACAGCAATAACTCAGAGTACAGCGTGGTGGTATGACATCAGCTACTAACTAGTGTCCACTCAAAGAACCACTGAAGAATAGATTAACAAAACCTTGTAGAAAACATGTTGAAATATAAGCAAAAACAAAATTTAGATGGAGTAAAATCTTTTTAATTCTGTATTTGACTGACGTTGGTTAACTTTGGAATCTCGAACACTCACGTAATAGTTGATAATTTTATTCTCACTAATATCTGAAAGCGACACCCTGTGTTTCAAACGCCAAAGCTTTAAAAAAACAAATTAACAGCGATATAATCGCGATGTATCTTGAAACACATCTCAGCCAAACTGCGATAAGTCAATAGAAACCGTAACTGTCCATCATACTCAACAGGATACAGGTCTGGATTGCAATCACTGCTCTACTTTCAATCCCTCAAACATTTCGTATACTTGTTCTTTAAGTCAGACAACAGATATCTGAAATACACTTTTGCTTCGCAGAAGACACTAATCTAAGCGTTTTAATACTGCTGACGGTAAGACTGATGACTCTTTTACCTTTCTGATATGATAAAAAACACACACTCTATCAGAAATCCAAGACAATATCTAACGTGAATACTTCACGCTGTTGAAAAAATGGAACTTTCTGAATCACATGAACATGATTTATTTTCTAAATGAAATAATTTTCCTTTCAATACACTACTAACTACACTGACACACGCGAAAAATTCGAAAAGTTTTATATCGAAAAATTAGTGGAATTAAGGACACGTTGTGAGAGAAAGAATACCATATGAAATACTAATTATTATTGTGAGTTTGTATCGTCCAGTCGATGAGACACACTTTAAATTAAACTCATATAGCAGTAGGAAGGTTAGAAAAAACCTACTTTCAAACACGGAAATTTAGGATAAATTTATTATCAGTTAGTCCTGATATTTTCTTTTCCGTTTCTAGAAAGAGATCTTTAAAGGAGATCAGTTAGATTAGGTGACAGGATTAAACATTTTTTGATGCTAAAATGAACACATAGGGATGAGAAAAAGTGGCTCGCCTTTTCCTCCTACAGGAATTTGTAACAGCATAATAATAATAATAATAATACAAAGTTCAGACTAAAGGTGTTTCCTCCCATCCTGATGGTAATCGAGTGCACAGTTGTAAAGAATAGTGACAATGTAAGTCAATAAACTCAGGAAAGACATCAAAACACCAAATTAGATTTTTGGTTGACAATTCAAATTGAGTAATAGGAATAAAACATTCGGTGAAGGGTCTCTCTTCAGCGAATTCATTCACTTGACTGTACAACTGAAAATGTAAATAATCATTTTTGTGTGTGTGTGTGTATGTGTGCACATAGCATAAGCGTTAAACATTAGTTCAGAGTGTGGTTTACACCATCAGAATGTTTCAAAAACGTAACTAGTGGGGTGAAGATTAGTAAGTTCAAAGTAAGGCTGAGTAACCTGAAAAAGCACCAGGAAAATTTAATGTTAATGAATGAGCAGAAGAAGTAGTATTGATTTCAGTTGAGCTGAGAATTATACCCAAGTTAGAAGGAGGGAATGCAGAAGTCTCTTCTGATTACACAAATCAAGGTTTTCCATCCGAATCGCTGAGACCTCCACTATACAAAGTATACAGGAGCCTGTCACTTTTGGAAGGCATCTTTTGACTTTGTATATAACTTTGAGTGAATTTTCCTTGAATATTTAGTGTCTAGGTATGAATATATGTTGAATTATAGCCTTCCTTAATGACCTATTTTGACCTCTTTTAGATAAAAACACGCACTGAACGACCTATATATCTCATTCAACAAGACTAGGTGAAGTGTGCGTCGGTGGCACAGTGGTTAGAACTCTTGCCGACCATGCATATGGTCCGGGGTTCGAGCCCACGCCGGCGCACACCTGATATCTATGGTCGGCCTGCAAAATTTGGGCTACCGATATCCATGCTGAAAATTCCATACTTGTACCAAAAATACAGTGTGTGGAATCAAGCTGTAAATCAAAAATCAAAGTTGTATATACACACAGAAGTGATCACATATGATAAATTCTATTTGAAGTTACTGGAGAACATTGGGTAGCAAGAGAATATCGTTCTTAGTATAGCAGCAAAGAATGTTCTTTTCAAGGCGTTTGGCATTCCCTTTCTTTACAGTGTTGGCCAGAAATTCGCCTTTGAGCGCCATATTCATGAATAACATCTTCTAAGACACGGAGACTGGGTTTTCTCAATTGATTTTGGATCTTGTGTCTGTCTATGAAGCGTGTTTTCCTCGGAGTTATGATGTCTGAACCTATCGACTTAGAACTGTAGATTCTCCGCATGAGATATTTTTAAGTTTTGTTTACAATTTGCAGACACACAGATGCAAAATGAAAATGAATTCGAAAGAAATATCTCTTCATTGATCTGTTTATGTCTGGATGGATATTTTCCGTGAAACTTTAAGAAACCATCCTTCCTGAAGTCTTTTTCACCAAATGGAAAGCATGGTTGCATTTTGCCTAGATCTGCGTAGTTTGCAAATGACAGACTCCACTATATATGCTGTCAGTTTGTCCAGATACCTGGCCACATATCACGTAGCCCGAATTATGTGGATTTGTTCATTTTCTGATGTGAGTCAAACCATATAAACAGCTGATATACTCAGCCTCCAAATGAGAGGAACAATCATAGAGTCGTTAGACAACTTAGATACTGACAGCTAGCAGCACTCATGGTTGACGTTGGTGGTGTTAGATTATTCAGATCAATCACCAGTATATGTTGCGATACTCTTTCGTTCACCTTTTTAACTGCCACTTATGATATAATACAGATCACATATTGGGATCAGAATAATTCCCATTCCAAGCTGCGTGGTTCGCCTGTAGTCACCCGACCATAACACTGGTGAAAAGTACTGTAACTAACCAGTGAATAAACAACATGATTAGCAACAATGGTTCCATATGAGGCATTATGAGCGCTCCCCTGGGTTCCGAGTGGAATATAGGGCTTCAACAGCACGTTTTTGTGCAGTCCTATTCAGCTGGGCCCACGATTGCCCTTAGTCCCTCACCTCTTTCTCACATGATTTTTTCCACTCATCGTTTTTTATTCACATCCTACCCGAGGGCCTGTTGCACTGATGTCATCCAACAGTCTCCTCAGCATGCATCCAATCCAACCTCATCTCCTTCGGGCTATTTGTTGAGTAATCGTTTCTTGGTTGGTTTTTCCCAGCGTTACTTGTTGATAATTCTATCCAGCGGCCATTTGTCTTTCAAAATAGATCTGAGGCAGTTGTTGATACAAGTCTTTAACCTGCTGGAAATGCTTTTTGTGAAGCGCGCGCCAACTTTCTGACCAATATGGAAGAAATGACTTGACATTTGCACCGAACATCCAAATCTTGTTCTTTATGCTGCAGAATGGAGAAGATTTCAAAACGGAATTCAAAGTGACGAAGGTCTGTCTTATCTGGTTCTGACATCCTCATCTATACCATGTGGCTAAAGTTGAAACTGCTCTTCCTAGATAAGTGAAGAGAGTGACCTCTTTCAAATTTCTTCCGTTCATAGTGACCGATACCTTTTGATGTTGTTGGTGGTTATCTTCATCACCTCCGTCCTCACTTGAAGTCCTCTCTTTGTCACCAGCCTCTTTAGCCAGTTTGTTGGATTTTGCCTGCCTCTAAGTCTTCGAGTTTGTATAACATCAGACATAAATCATCCACGCGCAGAATCCTTTTTTTTTTACAGTCTTCGCCTCCTTCCGGCATATCCCTGTCTTCTAGCTCCTTTTTCACAGTCTGACGCATAATCCATTACATCACATTGTCGGTGATAATAGGCAGCCTTGTTTTACTCCTGCAGTCACTTCGAACGCCTCGCTGAGTTTTCTGTTGTGGATCAGCTGATATGTGTCATTATCAAATACCTGTTGAAAGAGGTTGATGAAGAAATGGGGAATGCCATAGTGTTGAAGAAGCTTCCAAATTACTTCGCAGTTTTCTATGTGATATAGAAGGTTTTATTGACAGTCATATTCTGACCACCAGTTGGCTATTTCTCTTCCTCATATCTAGCGGTAAGGAGACACTAGCCTTACTACTGAATCTGATGTACAAGTTTCTAACTTTCTCCGCTATACACTTCGTTTTACAGTTTACTGTTGTAGCATACTAAAAGTGGCATTAACTGTAAATTCTAGGAAGAAAACCTTTGCAACAGTAGAACACTTTACGGATGAAAGGCAATTATTTCTGAGCGCTAAGGCAGTTGCTGCACATTATTATTGTCGACTCCTACTACACTAAATTTGAAAAAAAAAACAACTCCGTTTAAAGCGGTACATTCAACTATCTGTTAAGCAGACTCTAGCAGTTAAGGGTGAAAAATCTAGCAGAACAACACTCATCGTCTGAACACTGCTGAGAAACACTGAATTTATATGATAATAATGATAGCAATAATAATAATACTAATAATAATGGTAATAACAACAAAATTCTTCGCATATTACCGCATATATTAAAAAAAGAGAGATGAAGTCGAATAACTTTTAAGCCATTAGTCGAAAGACTTATCCCTTTGTCTTCATTACTGACTAAAAAAAAAGCATCTGCTCAAATTTGTTTAAAACAAATCCACTGCCATAATTGTCATTGTGTGAGAGAGAAGGAGAGGGAGAGAGAAGAGGTGGATCAGTGAGTGAGGTACACAAAAGAAGAAGACGAAGAAGAAGAATAAAAGCGATGATGAATATTTTTGATAAGTAGAATAAACAAAATTATACAGATTACCGGATAAAAGTTTCTTTCTTTAATGAAGCGATAAAAATACGAATTTTTTTTTAACAAATTTTCCCAACTTATTTATCTACGTGACGCTTATCGCAAAAATGTTAATGTTATTTTTCTGCATTTTTCTGGCTTATTCACGCATTCACGCATTCATTCATCCACTCATTCACTTATTTATATATATATTTGTCTTTGTGTTTATTCCTATCTCCTTTTTTCTTATTGGCATGTGATTTAAACATCTCACCTCCATTTTCCACAGCTTCAGTTATTCGATCAGAACAAAGATGGCAAATTACAACTGAGTGAAATGGCCAGGTGGGTGGATGGATCTTTAGTATTCTTTTGAATCTTTCATCAATGCTTAATAAAGCCACAGTCAACTTTATTTTTAAAAATCTGGTTAGAAAATAACTCAATAAATGATGTTAATTTTAGATGGTTATAATCAAGTTTGTAGGTGAAACTGTGAAACTGGATTTACCACTTATTACCACTCAACTAGCAAAGCGTATCCACACCGCTTTATACTGTAGTTAGAGACGTTATCACATTTGATCTCATGTAGAACTGTGATGCACTCACTGGTTGATGACTAGGGTGCACTAGGGACTTCAGATATACGACACTGGTTAGGCCTTAATAATGAATCAGTGTAAACTTATGTTACAGGTACTAAATGTACCCTTCTCTGCACAGTGAGATCCATACTACTGATAAGTATCAGTGGCTGGGATGTACCCATATCAAGGTAACTGAATAGCTGAGTAGCTTTTCAGAGACTTTGTCAGAATGACTCAAGTCAGAGGGCTGAGTAGATTTAAAACATGAGAATTTCAGCCAGCTGTACGTTCTGGTTATATGAAACCTTCCACATTACACAAATGTAGGTGAGATTTCACCACAATTTCCTCAGGAAAATCAAAATAATGCGCGAGACCACAAACAGCATTAAGAAAACAAACAGATATGCCAAATAAAGGACACTATTTGTCTCTGTAATTACTTGAGAACCATTAATTCGGCGATTGAGTGATTACCAATTCATTTAAACATCATAAAAGTAGTGGTTTCTGAAACGTTTTCTTTTCAAGATTTTGATAAAAATTTAAGTTTACTTCGATCGAGCAATTTTTCTATAACATAACCCAGTAGTAAGATATGAAGTTGTATGTTATTTAAGCCTTGTAATCAACCAAATGTAGTGGAATCCAAGGGGTAGAAGGTGAAGAATACATAATGAAGATTGGCATTTCCGTCCCTTATATGATTTCACTTTCAGTAATAATACTAATAATATTCATTTTATCCCAAGTTTTTATACAGATTGGAATTTTCAGCATTTCAACACATTGAGACAATTTATCACCTTTTACACATAAATGACACAAGTTAGTAAAAATATTAATATCATAAAAACTGAAAGTTAGCCGGAAGAATAATATATGGAATAATAATGACTCCGGTTATAATTCACTACTTATTTACTGATTTAAGTAGTTTAGAAGCCTTTTTCTGACAATAGCCTCTTCACATAAAACCAGTGCTACATATGGTATGGTTAAATAGTGGAGATATGTGGATGACACTTTCACAGTGTTAAAAACAGAACATATCTCTCTCTAGCTTCTTGGCACACATAAACTTACTAGTAGAAGGAATAAAATTCACATTTGAATCGGAAAATGAACAAGGAGAATGAGCTGCGATGTTAGGTTGTAAAATAAAACGAATAGAAGAAGGTAAACTGCACACTAGTGTGTACAGAAAACCAACTCATTCTAATAGATACTTAGACTTTAATTCATCCCATCCGTTAACTGTTAAGGCAGGCTTAGTTAAGTGTCTAACAAACCGAGGAGTGACACTAAGTAGCACGAGAAAAGATCTAAATGATGAACTAAAACAGATAGAAGAGGCTTTGGTGCTAAATAACTAACTATCCTTTAAAATTCATTAGGAAGATCAGAAAAGGCCAAACGGAAAAATAAAAATAATTGTGAAACTAGTAATAATAACGTAAATAAGAGAGAATATAAGTCATCTATAGTTATACCATATAGGGAGGGGACATCTGAAACCCTATGCAGGATTCTAAATAAAGCAGGAACTAGGGTGGTGGCATTTAAACCTACAAACTCACTCAGCTCGGACAAGCTGTGTAGGTTAAAGGACAAAATAATATAATTTACAAAATACCCTGCAATGACCGTGAGTTAGGTCAACTACATAGATCAAACTAGTAGGTGAGGGGTAGTCAGATTGTCAGAACATAAGAATTTAGCTAAGGAAAGAATGGTTGACCCTGAAAAGATAAGAAATTTAGAAAAAAGCTCGGCAATTGCAATGCATGAATTAACACACAACCACACAATAGCATGTTGGGAGAGGGTTAAAATCCTAAAAAGTAATCTAGATAGGTGGAGAGCGAGAGAGGTTGATTACTGAATCCTTGTTCATCGAGTCTACACCAAACACATGCAATAGGAATGAATCATCAATCATACCTGAAATATGGAAAGTACTACTGCCAATCAAATCAAGTGAAAATCAAGTGAAAAATAATGGAACTATGTAAATGAAGTTAGGAAGTCGTGTGAATACCTTGATATGATTATGAGCAGTAATAAATTGTGCTCGAAACGTGGTCATCAGTAAACATTACTGTATAACAACACTGTGAGACTTTATCAAAACAAAATTTACCCTTAATGGAATTACACTCTACCACAGTGCACAAGTTTTATTCTTATATCACATAAATCTTGTTTGCATCTGGAACTAAGACCATTTAAGTAAAACCATTGGTTAACTCCAGATAAGAAACTATCGTTACCAGAACAATGGAATACAGAAACAACCAGGACGGAAATTGTCAAACCATTAGTATATTTTGTGAAATTAGTTTTATAAGAATACAGCAGTGAAGCGCTTCCCATTGAAAACAGTGTGTTGTTTCCCAGCTTAGAACTGATTGTCATCACTTATAGGATAAGAAGAGACGGAAATGACTGGTAATTTTAAGCGAATAGCTTCCGCATAAAATGCCTTTAAACAGTTAAAAACCTGGTGTGAAAAGTAAAACAGATTGCCGATCCAATCACATTATATTCTAGCCCCAAGGTAATTCCTCTTTTCAGAAAACACATAACTAGTCACACTGACATCTCTAATCAAAGTTTCGGATAAGATTCGACCAATGAATTTTAAATAACTGAATGCAACTCTAAGCTTTTTAAGCCTGTCTTTCAATAAAATTAAAGATTAAAGCTGAAACTGAATACTCATGTCATAGGTTAGACTTCTATACGAGCTGACATGAGTACCTAGTTCTTCATCTGACAAAATCCTCACTGAAAGCATTCAAATCCCTGAAAACATAAAGCATGCTTTAGTCAAATAAATCCCGATTAAGAAATGCTTTGTTTACATATCATAGCGAATACTGTATTTTTTTTTTTAAAATATTTGGTTTGTAATGTACAGTCTTCATCTCTCACCCTCAAAAAATCTTCCTTACACTTGACAGTCGATGAATAATTAAATATCTGAATGTCAAGCACCGCTAATTGCAGTTTTCTTTAGAACAAAGCAATTTCAGCCTTACTGATTCCTATCTATTGATAGATAAATCTCTATGAGTACGTTTGTTTTTTTTCGCAGAATATTTCGGAAATATGATTAACTTTATGTCAAGATGAGTTAGACCGAAAATCCACTAATCTGTTGGACTAAGTAGAAAATCGTAAAGCACCACATTTTCCTAGTCTTTTTTGACCAGCGTAAGCCTTACAATAATCATTCTCCGATTGTGACTGCAACTTACTATTAGGTTATTTTGTTTGAAAGTAATAGGTTACATATATATCAAAATGTCGAAATTTCTCGCTTAAATAAATTTTAAACTAAGTAACTTGAACATTCCAATTTAGTCGCATAAAATAACAGCCATTCAGCGATATCAATCTCAAGCAGTACAACTGCATATATATATATATATATATATACATTAAATTATCTTAAAAACTAAAGGAATGTTCCCGAAGACATATCACTAGAACTGTAGGTTTTGGGTAGTGGTTGCGCAATACACAAAGCGTCAATCTATTAGAAATCATTCCATTCCTTTGCGTCCTGAGTGGAACACAAAGCTTCAAGTTTGACCTCTGAAGTTGCAGTAGCAACGGTTTTATTTTTTTGCGGAGTGGAGGTGTTAGCCTTACTACCAGCCTAGCAAGATGAAAGAGTGAGTCAGTGACCGAGGATTGAACCCTGGGCCAAGTGTGTGGTGGGCAGGCGTTTCACTGCTGAACCACCAACACAAAATCAGTTAGAAACTAAAATAAAATTCAATAAGTAAACTGTTTGACGCATTCCAATTGACGTAAATGAGTGGAACTCGACTAAAATCGAAAGAGAGTCAAGTTGAGAATAGTAATAAGTAGGAAAGTAATAATGGAAAGGGTTGGAAAATAATACAAGCAGAAAACAAAACACTGTGTATCCCGTGTTGAGACAGATTAGGTTCATTGTACGTTCAGTGACTGAACACATTTCTCCAGTAAGCAGAGTTTAAGATTTAACATGCTGGTGGATTGTCATCGCTTCTGCGGTTTGAAGAAGTTTATTTCGTACTCCTTTAGTCAAATCCCATGTATTCTGTAAATAGCCAGTTCGTTTCTTATCTAGATTCGACTAGGTGTTCCAAAATAGAGCTGTGGCTTCAGGGATCTTCTTTCTCCTTTATAAAACCATGAAAGTATTGGTTCAGTGATGCATTTGGATAGCAAACTACCCGAACATTTAAAGTAAAGAACAGCATAATCTTTAATTTAATAGCTTTATATGACTAGTCGACAACTCTGTGCAAGTAGATGTATTTTTAAATAATATCAGTAATCATCTTCGCATTTGTGTACTTCTAAAGAATTTCTAAAATAACCTTCTTGCTTCTATCATAAATACAACTTCGTCATTTAATTGCATAAACGATTATAAAGCAGAAAAAATCATATAATATAAGGAATATTAAGTCTGATTTTTTTTGCTCTACCATCTTTTTCTCGTCAGATTGTTACCCGTTAAAGAAAATTATCTGTGCAGACCTATTTTCAAGGTGAGTTTTCTTTTATCTCTATTAGCAACGTCAACGTCATTACTAAGCTGCAGAATTATTGATCCGTGTTATTGATAGTTTTATCCCCTAGTGTATAAGATACATTCATAGACATATATACCGACCCCATCAGTATTTGTTTTTCTAAACAGAAATTGATTTGATGAGCGTCTGACTACAATTTTCTAAACATTAACAATGGACAGTTTAAGATCACGATTAACCCGCTATCATTTTTTTTAAGAAAAGGCACTGTGTACTAGGAAGAAGTTTACACATAAGTTGGGTATGCGTAAATCATCTGAAAGTCCCTCCATGAACGATCTGTGGACAAAAAACTGATACTTATTTGAATGCTTAAGCCTATCTTGTATTTATCACCCATTTTCTTCTAACCTGAACATTATTGGTCTAGCATTCGATTATCTTCTTACGACTTTATCCTTGTGTTTTGTCTTTGCTTTTGATTGATTCGTCGATGAGCAATGCTACCTGACATATAATAGGTCAGGTTAGAAAAAAGCTAGAGGTGGTCAATGAAGCTCATGATGACAGTTTAAGACAGTCAGGCAGCCAAGCACGTAGGGAGGTATACACTGCCTGACTGGTTGGGGTCGTCGGGATGGTAAGAACAAATGAAGGTTGGTGACAACTAATGATATGGCTCGAAATTTTTCTGGATGAAGGCGCGTATGCATTCACTCTTTGTGATTTGTTATATCCAATAAAAATTTATTGTTCTTCCATAGTGCTACTATTCTTCTTCCTTCCTACCATTGTATATAATCTGTCTTTTGAATCTCTCCTTACTCCTTTCTCTTGCTTTCTGCACTATAAGAAGGAATAGTGGCAACTCGAACTGGTGCATGTTTGCGCAACAAAATTACGTGTTGAAACCAGTCAGTCATTTAGTGATCCCTTAACTTGTAGCTTCTCTTGGCTTCTGTGCGGTGGTTTTGATAATAATGTGTTATTCCACAACTGCCTTTTTTGACTGAACTCATAATGTTACTCCGTGTAGTGATGCCTTCATCTTGGACCGTCTCCTGGAAACGTATTTGTTCTGTTTCACTCTTGTGGGGAGAGTTTTGACCTCAACTTGTTACGAACATCCTTGTTGGTTCTTAGTTATTTTATGTCTGTGTTTGGTCAGTTATTTTTGTTGGAAAGTACGCATTTCTTACCTGAAAAGCCTTTAGATTGTATAGCTGGTGGACGGCATTGTTGAATTAATTTTGTATACTGAATATATGTCATTATTATTCTGAAGATTCTATCACTTGAACCACGTTTTGATATTGCCGGAATATAATTTTCAACTGTGCGTGACTTGTAGAAGTTTGGCCAGCAGTTTTACATGAGAACGGATTGATTAGTTTCATGCTTTCATGCCCAAATACATGAGTTTCGCTCATTACATAAATGTTTAAACTGTTTTCTCACTTTTTTAAAGTCAATTTAAGCTAATATACTTGCTTTATTAAATTGTGTTTCTTTTGGTTACAGAACGCTTCGAAAATAACATCGGCTGATATTGATCGCGCATTTTCACTTTATGATCTGGTAAGTAAACGATATGAAAATCAATATCTTTGACACGTGTGTGTGTGTGTGTGGTAATGGTAACTTTTCTGACATACCCTCATTTTGCTTCTGAAATGAGAAGATATTACGGTTTTAATTTGTCCGCCAATTTCAAACCTCTCGAGTGTGACGATACTTTGTTGAAGAAAGCTTTAGCTTTTTATTCAAAAGTGATGAATTTGCTAATTCAAGATGAAGTATTCAGTAAGCGTAGCATTCTATATATTTAACAGAGACCTTCAACAGTATATGCAGTTGTATATGGGACTATTTCAACAGAATACAGCATCTTCATCAAGGGAGAAAATTAACTTCCTTTCTGACATTCGAAAAGCATAAAACTTGTCACTAAGTGACATCACTTGCCACTGAGCGATAATACTTATTCATTTTCTGCCCATTGCCATAAAAACCATTCCAGTACACAGAATGCATTATGAGTGATGTGATATAAAACCAGGAATCTATCAAAAACAAACAAATGCTTTCGAATTTTCCGTTATTTGGATGAAAGATATCTGCAGGAATTCTTGAACCTAGATATCATACTTTTTGGCATTCATCAACAAGGCGTATATGCAACCATTGAAGGAACTCATAACCCTTCTTAGATTTAAACAAGAGTCATTCAATGCTGCACCGACACCAAGGATTAGATACATGACATTAGTTACTGCTTAGTGTTCAGTTAAAGTACTGAATATAATCCTACAGAAGGTCAATCGTGAGTCTGAATAACTCAGTGATAACGTCTCTGGTTGCAGCGCTGGGTGACTCAGGTTCTCATTTCAGAAGGGAAATCAGTTCCTTCTAGGTAGCAGATACGCTTTGCTGACAACTGTCATCAAGCACAAAGGCTAAGTCAAAGGCTTCCTGCTGATTGCTTTCAACCATCCAACAATAATTCAGAGTGAACTGTTTTGGCGAACTGCCTAGTCTGGTGGCTAAAACTGTAATGTGTCCATATTTACTAAGCCACTTCAATAAACGCCTCCAAAGCCTCAGGATGGTCGGGGGTGGGTGCCTTGCGCTGCGGGTTGGCCACCCCTCCGCACACCTCTTGAAATGCTCCCATATGACCGGGCGTCTTACATAGCCTCTCCTGAGGGAGTCCTACTCACTGCCTTCACGTGGCGGAGGTGTTTCTCACCAAAGTGAGAGGGCGAAAGCGGATGCCCGGCGCTCTCCACCGGGTTGACTGTCCATTGGATGACGGTCTAGGGGAGATGGCTAAACCCTGATTCCAAACCTCCAACGACTGGCGTATGAAGCTCACCGGAGTTCACCGGCAGACGTATGGACAAAGGGCTTGTTGGATGTCCTGGATGTCTGGCCCCATTCAAAAAGGCGTATGAACCGAACTCCGGTCACCGGCTGCCAATGGATAGTGGACTCCTTACTCCACTCCTACTGCCTTGTAGGTCACACTTGGCTGTGTAAAGGCTAGAGCTGCACTCTCAAACAAAAGGCCGAGCAATGCTGGGGACATCACTCGTACAAAATTCCCATGAAACTTCATGAACTCTCTTACAAATTGCCGCGCCTGGGCAGCGATGATTCGAGACGTTCATGAAGCCGGCTCATCCTCCCGTAGGAGATAGCCGAAGTAAAGTAAAGTAAAGTAAAACTTCAATAAACGTTCACAAGATTCTGCATTTCATCTGTTAGAGAATATCGCTTCTATTCAGTTTTTAAAGATAATATCAAATATAGTAATGAAGGGATCATCTGCTCTTACCAAAAACACTATTCAAAATAAAATGGTACTTATTACAGCACTGGTTATGGTGACACGCCAGCCTTCATAATTGCACATGAATTAACAGAAGAGATACATCATGGCTACAATTACTCAGAAATGTTTTAGGCCATAAACATTTAAACATTCTTAATGTTAATGTCATTAATAATCAAAATAAAACTTAGTAATGATTCCTAAACTTATCAGAAGTTAAGCAGATGTTCATGAGTTCACTAGATGCATACACGGAAAGCGTTAATTACCTACAAATAAAATTGTTTTCAAGCTGTACCACTAAAGTTGAATTAAGATTTCTATCTTATATCATCTAGGAACATTTCATTGAGTTAGGTTCATAACAAGGGAAATATATTTTGCAAAAGCTCCCCCGTAGTGTTTTGCATAGTGTGCCAACCTTCTACAACTTCAGAAAGACAGTATTGTCTGTGTTGGGAGTCTGATAAATGGACACTTTGTCAACACTGGTCATTCCATCTCAGCAAACGCATTCTTCAAACTAATCTACCAGTGAAAGTCAATACGACCTTGTCTCATCAGCACTACTGAAGCTCTAACCATTCAAATAAAGAAATTTGGAGTTCTGTATAGAAAAGAAAAATAACTGAACTTGTTCTCCTATGGTGGTAACAACCTTGTTGAAATCTGCTAACTTGGTTCTTTGTTGGTTTCTTGACGATTTGTAAATTTTACATCTCTTTATAGAACTGCCAAGTAATGTCATAGTTTCCTTTGTTTCTATGTGCATTCTAATTACCATTCACTCATTAAATTATTCATCTTCTTATATAACTACTAAAAACTTGTTCAACTCCTCCTATGTACTGACCAATATTAACGAGTACTCCCATAATTTAATCACTACTAAGTTATTCAGTACACACAACTCAACTAAACTAGTACTTATACAACGAGTCACTGATTTAATGAAGGACAGAAAGACTACTGAGTACGTCTCATAAGTGTTTTAATTTAGCATTTATATAAATATACAGGCTGTGTTAACATAAATCACTCCTCATTCAATGATTCTTCACATAATGAGTTATAATTTCTCATCTGATATACATACTGCATTGGTTAGTGTTTGTTAACATGATGGAAGGTTGTGAGTGGGATGAATTAATTAATATACGCAATGCTATGTATTAATTCATAATCTGCTATCTGTTTTCTCTCAAAGGATGCCAACGGAACAATAGAAGATGAAGAACTAGCCGGATTCCTGAAGGATCTGTTGGAATTAGCTCAGGAGGTAAGTGTGTGACAACAGAAGACAAGGGCCGGTAACAGATAGTTTTATTACGGAAATCAACACGTATTTATATATATTTCCTGTACATTATTATAGCTTATTCAAGTAGACAAACGCAGTCTTCTGATTGGTTGTGTTTCGAGTTCCTCGGAAAGTGGAGCCATCTATCTGCGAATAATATTTGCCCGCGTTAAGTCTGCTGTGATTGGTGTTGTTGAATCAGCCCTGTTCATATTTTCTCACGGCCAATATTAGTGACCTAGACATTGACGTAGATTAATGTCTACTAATTGGCTGGCAGCCTGCTCTCACCACAAGTGGAATAATTTTTACACCGGTGGATGAACTGCTATTCACACGTAAAAGTAATGTTCAGATTCAGAGTCATTCACTAGATTTGTTTTTGGTTTATTCCCCAGATTTTCAGAGACTAACCATATTTATGATCTAACAATACAGGGTTTTTTAGCGTCCTACTTGGCTAAACCTGTGTAAACTGCAGTGCCACAATCTGATGTAATGAATAGGAAACTTTTTTTTTCCAATCTTCTAGTTCCTAGTTTTACCTAGCAATCTAGGGCGGATATCCGTCGATATTCTACCATGCTGACACATGAGATGGAAACTATGGAGAGGAGAAAATTGAAATAAATGAATATTATAGAATACGATTCCCGACTATAGTTACTGACTGATTTCCCCGATTTCTGCTTTCCTAATTTTTGCCAATTTTAATTTCTAGTAGTCTATTGCCTTGTCAGCAAATATACTAACTGTCTTAGGACAGATGATGGCAAGCTATGAGTAGCATATTCCTCAGTTGTTTTTTTTATTTTAAAAAAATTAAATGTTGAAATTCACATTTTTGAGGGATTAGTTTTTAAAGATTTGACTTGTTTCAAGTTTGACTAAGGGTTGGTACTAGTTAAAGAACCATTGAAAACAAGGAAGTACTGAACAGCTATTTCCTCCTAGTTTGGGACTCATCATCAGTACACATTCACCGAGGTTCGGACCTAGGACCTCATGGTTACAAGTTAAGCTAATGGACCATTTAGTCACTCGGTTTGCATCCATTGGGAAATGAATTCCAACTTCCACCACCAATTTGTGATTTCAGAGTGACTGACACCAGGAAATGTCATTGATGGAGGGTGATCTGCCCTCACTCACTCCCGACTGGATGGATGGACTCCACTAGAACCCGCTTCAAGCAGCTTCGTCCTATTGTCAGCCACTAGCGAACATCAGATTAATTTTCAAGTGTCAGAATCCATAATGTGTGGTGTGCGCTGGCAGTATCCGCTATCCTAACACATAATAGGGGAGAACTTCGCTGTAGCAAACAGTGATGTTGTAAATAAACTTAGCAAAATATGACAAGGTGTAGAATAAACAGCGAGTTGTTTACTGTTTCAACCTCAGGCACCTTTTTTATTTCTTTTGGCACATAGGGATGCTAGCTTTGAGCTTCGAAGTTCCAGTAGCAGTGATGTTATTCGTTGTTAAGGGGTAGGGTTGCTGGCCCTACTCCCAATGTTTCCTCTTAACGGGTTACACAAGGTTCAGGAATGAATCTTGCGGTAATCAAATCCCAAACCACTTGAGTATTTGGAAAGCGTTACCACCGACACATTCTAATACCTCTCGTCCCAGAATAATATTCCGTCCACCTTGTTACATTTAAAATACATTTAATAAATAATTGTATTTAGTATTCTTCAATTAAGTTTGTAGTGCTGTGTTTCATTAAAAATTTTCCTAGAGACAAGATATTATGAATGTCTCATCAAAAAGTTTCGGACTTAAGGTGGAAGCATGGCTTCATGCAATAAATTCTGTAAATTATTGTACTGTGACAAGTTTGGTAGTAACACTTGTCATTTGTTGAATCTACTGCCCTAACATCACACATCGCTATTTCACTCTATTCTATGCAGTCTTTTCTAGCCGGCTTCTCGACTACCTATAAACCTTTATGTTCTTTTCACACCATCACTTCCATATCTCTCACGAAACCAGGCCTAACTCGTCGCTCCCCATTTCGATTCAACTCGACAGCTTATCACCTTATGTCACTCATATTCATTGGGCCATAGGTTCTTGGTTATTCCGTTGACAAATTTCCTTGTTGCTAGTTCTTTCAGGCCATCTGATCAAGTGGAGTGTACAGCTATTGCAAGAAGTTTGCAACCTACTCAAAATACTTTTGCTGACATGACAAATCTTCGGGCCGTAAATAAGCATGGACTTCATATTAATGTTGAAAATCCCAACATGTGTCCTTTATGCTCAGTGCAGTTAGTAACCACACTGATTTCAGAATCGTCAAACAACAATAATAAAATACCAAACATTAATTCGCAGATCCATTAAAATGATACAGTGTTTACTGGAATAGAAATTCTTTTCTGATTGTCTGATTGTTGAATGTTCATATGAGTGATTCTAGTTGATCGAAAAACGTTGAAACCATCATGGAAATGATAATGTGATTCTTTCGATAGGCATTTGGGGAATTAATATATACCAGAACCATCCTAGACCCTTGACACTTTTTGTTTACAACCACAGGATTTGAATTCTAGTCGAAATATGAGTACTAAGTCAAGTGGGTACAGACTACAACAAATATCTCTTTAGAAAACAGAAAGATTGAGCGGAGAAATATTTACTTTTCAATTAGATCTTGTAAAATTAATTTATTCTATCCATTTCCACCTTTTAAATCTGTATTGATTTTCTTCGTTAACTATTAAGCAATTGACACTGTTTAATTATTGTTAACTAACTTATCTCCACTTGATTGGCAAACTGTTGTATTGTAATTAAAATGCTATACATGTATATTAGAGTAGAGCCATAGTGAGATGAGGATCTAATTGAAAAGTAAATATTTCTTCGCTCAGTCTTTCTGTTTTCTAAATGTCTAAATGGGGATTTTTTCTCTCTTAAAATATCTGTTTGTCTATGTTTTTTTACATTATTAAACAATTAATATTATCTAAAAACTAGAGACTTAGTCTGCTGTATATTCGTTTAACTTTTCAATTAGATTCTAGCGTCAAATTTGAGTCCTGGCGGCAACCTTGTCTACTATTTGACTACTAAAATGTTTCTGGATTAATGTATGAATAATGTAGATTATTTATTTCATCGACGATTTGATAAATGATCCAATCATTAAGCTATCGGAAGGTTGGTAGAGGTTTACACACTAAATAAACAAAATCAAAGCGTTTGAACAATTGTAACAGTTTCAGAAAAACGCAGGAACGTAATATTGGTGATGCATTTCCATTCAACTGGCTAACCTTTGTTGGGAACAATTTTCAAGTCAGATAAATAGTTACAAAAATATCACCATCATTTATGAGGAACAAAAACAATTAGCCTGAACAACTGGTGGCAATAAATTCCTCCTTCTTCAGGCTATAAACTTATAAATGCATTAACTTAAGTATACAATAGTCAGCCAGCAAAAGCAAATTAGAACTATCTATCAGAGAGAGTGTGTGTGATACGGAACAAATATGAGATGGAGTAAATAGTCAGTTAGTCTTGATTATCTCATTTAGAATATTTATAGTCGATAAGGAAGAACACAAGATAAAATGAGATGAAATCACTCACTGATATGCATAGAAAATTTTCTAAGCGACGAAAAGAATGTTTAGAAAAGCCAATAGATTGAGCGAAGAAATAAATGTATATTCCTTCTAAATGCATAAATAGGAATTTAGAAAAGGAATACTACCAAAAGATGTCGCATTATAATAGCAAATTTTAGATGATAAATTGCGTAATATAGGAAGTGTTGTTAATCGAGTAGAAACTAAAATAAGACGAGTAAATTGAATGACGTAATATAAAATGACACGGTTGAGTAGAATTCGACTAAAACTGAACGACAGTCAGGTTAACAATAGATGTATTGAAGGGGGAGGAAATTTAATACGGCCTGAGGGAAGGAAATAGTACAGTTAAAAAAAAGAGACAAAAAATTAAAATTACCTATTTGAGGTTAGGATGAATCAGGTCCACTGTAGATTAAGTGATTGAACAAGCTTGTTTTGTATGCAGAGATCAGCATTTCACGGACAAATTGCCATCATTTCTGCTGTTTAAGGAAGTTTGCTTCTTACTGTTTTAGGAAAATTCCCGTGTATTCTGTAGATGACTCTGAAAATGGTTTGTGGGTTAGCCTCGTGTCCAGATTCAAATAAGTGTCACAGGATAGAGCTGCGTTGAGGGGATCTTCTTCTCATTTATAAAACAATGAGAGTAAATGTTTACATTTGGATAGCAAACGCTTGGCACAGCAGATATACCTAGCTACAAAAAAGCAGGCGAAATGATAGATACACATTAGCGAGGACGGGAGTAGTAACTTATCAACCACTTCTGTACGAATCATTGGTTTCGTAAAGAAAGTTAGTAGAAGTTCCGCCGCGAAGAAGGTCTTCTTCAATACGCTGGAAAGGTGGTCCTTTAGTATCTCTGCTGACCAGTTCCCACTGAATTGTAGATTTAAGCAGATCATGAATATTCTAAATAACAATCAAGACTAACTGACTATTACTCCATCTAGTGTTTTTCCCATAATACACCCTCTGATATATAGCTCTAATCTGCCTTTACTGGCTGACTACTGTAGATCCTGAAGATGACAGAAAAATTACGAGTTTCTTTCTCTAAATATTTAAAGAGTGAATTATATATTATCTTCAAACAAATGCATAACTTAACTCACACTGGCTCATTGTTACTTGCAAAGTGTAAGTGCAAAGAAGCACACAAAAATGACTGCCTCATTACTGTTCTAATAATATATCATCAAAACCTTTTTTTTTTGAACTACGATTATGACCTTATTTTCTTGTGAATACTGTTCATCGCCTTTTCTTTTCACTTTTAATTTACAGGACTATGATGAAGCCGACTTGGAATTCTTTAAAAAGGTGATCCTCAACCAATGGGATGTGAATAATGACGGTAAAATTAATCGAGATGAATTGAAAATGATGCTTATGCAACAATCACGACTGTTAGGCGATAAGTCCTAATCCACACTGATTGTTAATAATAATAATAATACAATAATAATGCAGGAAGAAGAAGAAGTAGAAATGAAATGGAACTGGAGAAATAAAGGCATCTATCCATATACCCTACCTCCAACATTTCTGAGAAGTACACTCTCTGTGTTACAACACATAACAAGCTTTATTTCTCTTCCTATTTGCCTACTATTTTTATTGTTTTGTTTTTCTCAAGGTTGTTTATCTATTATTTCTAGCATAATAATAATAATAATTAATATCTTACTACAGTTGTGTTTACTTTGAATACACAAAATAGTTGAACATTTAACTCCAAACATTTTTTATTTTCTAAACACATTGTCATTAACTTTGTTTGAGAGAAAGAAAGATAGATACCATGTTGTGTATCACCCACCTTGTTTTTCTCTCTGTGTTTATTGTATAACTTCTCTCTTTTTCATGTGTTACAGTCATGCTACTTACTCGCTTACTTGCTTACTCACTCACTCACTCACTCACTCATTCATTCAGTCAGTCACTTGCATTCCTAACAGTATTGTAAACTAAGTATGATTTAATATTCATGAGCATATTCATCATTACTCAGATATATATATATATATATATATATATATATATATATAGTATTCCTTCAATTTCATGCAGAGGAGGATGAGTTTATCTGGGAAAATAGAATGATAAATAAACATTAATTATGTCAATTTACCGCATAACTGTATTGTCTATACCACTACTTCTCCTTCCTCTTCTTCTTCTGCCTAATCCATTCATAAACTCATATAATAACCGTTGATCATTGATGCATATTTTCATCATTATATTTCTTGTTCTTTCTTTCCGTCTTAATTAATTATAATTTATCTGAAGATTTAACTAATATGCTGCCAACAAATAGGTTTGGTATTTTTGCATTTCTTTCACTGTCTATCAAAAAACACTGGAGCTGTGTTTCGGCAGTCGACTGGGTCAGAACTAACACATCTGTAATACTGCTTGCCTTCATTTAGATACGAACGCGCATTTCCATTTCACCATGTTTTTTTTACTGCAGTCATTTTAAGCTGGCTTCAGGGATTACCATAGGATCGCATAGCCCTTCACAAGATTCCCTCCCCGTAAACTCATAATCTCTTATTGGAGTTCCAGTCAACGGTCATCTCAGAGTGTGTATCCCATGCATCACCATTTTGTTTCTGTATATCTGTTCGCTAGTGGGCTATTGATTGGTTCGTCTTCAGGGTTTCTTGGAGTTAATCCTTTTAGGATATTTGAAAATATAGAAATATATATGAACATAGTATCGTGTATAAAAATGAAGGCAGGTAAAGGCTAAAAAATTTGTGAACTACCAGCCAGTGTATGCCTTTCCTCAAAACCTCCGTTCGGCTTGTCCCTTCATAAACTTTGACGAGAAAATGTCTCAAGTAGTAATGAAATACTTTTAATGAACAACCTGATAACTGGTGAACCTTTTGTTAGCCCAGAAAACTTCTGTAGACATACTTTAAGAAACTTCTTGCATTAAGTGTCAGTAATAAAATACGCGATAATCTGCACAATTTTCGGGTTAACAGACAGTAGATTCATAGAGTGAAGCTATTTCTACCCTGGTGGGTGCGTACTGTTGAGAAGTCGCAGATTGGAACGAAACCGTTGTTGTTTGCTATACTTCCAGGTTTGTTAATGGTTATCAAACTGATGTCAGCTCGTAATAAAATCCTGCAACAAATCGAATCAAATCCCTACAAACCAACAACTGAATATTCATAATCAAGTTAGTATAGTAAAAGTCGGTAACGCATAATCGATTTAATAAAAAAAATTTGGAGTTGAACACCATTATCAGTTGATGCATAACTGTAATCCAGATGGTAAACCTAAGCTCTAGATTTCTCACTTCATATTTCCCAATATCGTGATGTGAGGGCATTGATGATCCATTATCTTTACTGTCGGTATTTTGTAGCAACATATCGTCCACTGACGCGTTTACCAGTCAATTTTCTAAGGGTCAATCTACCTGGACCTTAAAGGCTTACTTTTAATTAGATGCATCTCTGCGCTTATTTTTGTTCCGGCTCAAGGCATTAAGAAAAACTGCTAGGTTATTCAAGTGAATTAGAATCAGTGGCTAAATTCCAGTTAACTCAGCATGATGTCCTATGCTACAAAAGCTGCGCCTAACTGATTGGTCATAAAGCCACTTGAGCTACACACATACAATTGCTAAGTGTAGTGGGATTTGAACCCATCTCTGCCTTAGGCCATTAAGCAGCATTTCTTGTACTGTCGGTAGTTTGTTCCCACTGTCTTACAGATAATGTGTACCAAGGCTAGCATGACAAATAAATGGATGAAAAATGAATAGCTTGCTGTTGTCTCATCAAAGCACCACGGAATGGATTCACTTAAAGACAGATATTCTGTTCTGCAGCTGGAAATAAAAGACAACTCTCGACTAATATATAGTTTGTTCGTGTGATGTAAAAGTATGATGAATAGTGCCCAAATCTGATGTATTGGTAGATTCAAGTCTTTCTTTCAAAACGCATAAGAATACAAACACACCAATTCTGGCCATTTCGTTTATCTGAGTCTTTTAGATATGAAATTTGAAGCGAAAATATATGGCAACAGAACGAATAATTTTCGTTCGTGCTTTTTATTTTATTGGAGCTGGCCAATATTGTCAAGTACAAGACTTTGTCATCATCTCTCACGAGAGGATAAGCTCTAGATTTAAGGAGATTAATCACACTAGGATTATGCAAACTCTTCAAATTTCATCACATATGAATACAAATAAGTTTTAAACGCTTTGTAAAGTGATACATTAGTTAGGTATGATGTCTAAAACTAATAACAGACATTGAGCTAAGCTCATACACTTGTATACAGACGCATTATCATGAAACTAGATTGTATGACTGCATTTTTAGATAAGCTTGGATTGACATTTTTGCTCAACGTATCTCTACTGTCATCTGATCAACTGACAAATTTAACCTGAAGTAAAACAGTGTAGGGAAAAAACGCAACACACTGGCATTATTCAGGTGCTGGTTTTGCGAGATTTGATTGCTTATAGGATACTATTATAAGCTGACGTCGGTTAGAGAACCATTGAAAAACTAGCTGAGAGTACTGCCAGACAACGTTTTCGTCATGGTTTGGGAATCTTTATCGGTACTCACTCCACTGCCACAGTTAGAACCTACAGCATTCCGCTTACAAGGCGGGCGACCTCGTAGACCATTAAGCCACTCACTGGTAACCGACAATCCAGCCCATGAATTCCAACTTCTGCGAATCCATGATATAGTGCGACTGACACTAGCCATTGTTATCAGTGTCGAGTATTTGTCGTCACACCCGACCTGGTGTATCCCACTGATCACAAATACTCGCCGATAACGTTGTCTAGTGTCAGTGGAGCTATATCGTGGATTCGCAGAAGTTGGAATTCATAGGCTGGATTGTCTGTTACCAGTGAGTGGCTTAATGGTCTTCGAGATCGCTCGCCTTGTAAGCGGAATGTCGTAGATTCGAACTGTGGTAGTGGAATGAGTACCGATAAACAGTCGGAAACCATGACAAAAAAGCTGTCTGGCAGTACTCTCAGCTGGTTTTCCAATGGCTCTGTAACCTATGTCAACTCACACTGAAAATGGTTTTAATTCTAAGCGAATGCACTCACATATTATTATTGTTATTATTATTGCTCCCTTGGGTTCCTAGTGGAACATAGGGCTTCAACTGCACGTCTCCATTTTCTTCTGTCTTCTGCTATACTTTTCGCCTGCATCCATGTTAATCCATATTCTTTCAACTCCTCTCTTCACACGATCTCCTCCATGTCACCCTAGCACTGACGTCACACTAGCCGCTTCCCTTTCGAGTCCCACTCAAGGGCTTGACGCGCGATGTCACCCCGAGGTCTCCTCAGCGAGTGTCCGATCCTTCCATCTCCACTTTCTCCTGCATATTTGTTGGGCGATTGGTTCTTGCTTTGTTTGTTCCCATAATTCCTTGTCGGTGATTCTTTCCGGCCATCTGATCTTCAGTATTGAGCGAAGACAGTTGTTAATAAAGGTCTGCAGCCTTTTGGAAATGTTTTTTGTGACCCGCCAAGTTTCTGAACCGTATAGAAGAACTGACTGACTTTACGTTTGTATTGAAAATCCGAATTTTGTTGGTGAGGCTGAGTAACGAAGATTTCCAGATTGATTTCAGGTTGATCAATGTGTTTCTCGCCTTCGCGATTCTCCATTTGACATCTTCGTCCGTTCTCCCTGTAGTTGAGACAATACTCCCTAGATAAGTGAATGAAACGACCTCTTTCAAATCCCTCCCATTGATGGTGATTGACGCTGGATGTTGCTGCTGCTGTTGTTGTTGGTTGGTTATTTTCATAACCTCCGTCTTGTCTATGTTTACCTGGAGTCCTGTCTTCGCCGGCTGCTTCTTCGACCAGTTTGTCGGTTTTCGCTTGTAAGTCTTCGATTGTGTGTGACATCAAACACAAATCATCGCCGCCCGAAATCCAGGTCTTCTAGGTTCTTCACGTCGGTCCAGGATATTCCTGTCTTCTCGTTTCCCACTCACTGTCTGATGCATAATCCAGTCCACCACAATTAGGAATATCATTGGTGATAGTAAGCACCCTTGTCTGACTCCTGTGTTTACTCCAAACGCCTCACTGAGTCTTCCGTTGTGGATCGCTTGGCAGGTGCCGTTGTCGTACAGCTGTTGAATAAGGTTGATGAATATTTGGGCGCTGTACACCGTAGTACTCGAGTAATTTCCAAATTACTTCGCGGTCAACGGTGTCGAAGGCCTTCTCAAAGTCTATAAAGTTGAGATAGAGGTTTGATTGCCATTCCATGCTTTGTTCTGTGGTGATGATGATGCGTAGAGTTGCAATTTGGTCAGTACATGATTTGCCTTTCCTGAATCCAGCTTGTTCTGGTCGGAGTTCTGTCTCCAGTGCGTCCTTTAATCTCTCCAGGATGATGCCACTCAGGATTTTACTTGGCGTCGATAGGAGCATGCACTCACATAACATGACTCGAAATTGTTGTTACTTCTACTGATGTTTTCGCTGTTGCTGCAAAAAGGTAACAGAAAAACTTTGCATTCAATGTAAATGTCTATAATAACAAGCTAAGGTCTAATAAAACTAATTTCCCTAATGATTTTCAATTGCAACACAACAAATCTAAGATTCTTCTCTAAAAGAATTTATCCCTAACTAATGAAAACAGAAAAAAAAAACAAAAGGCATTGTCTGCTTCGTTATTTCATTAGCTGATTACGAGGGTAAAAAACAATTTTTTTTCATTTCCATAATGTATATTTCTCCCAATTCACCCGAAATGTATGTATATATACCTGGTCAAATTCGTGTCTAAGTCGAATAATAAACACTGTCTGTAATGTATCCATAAGTAAATACAGATTCTGTCCAATATAAGCAATAGAAATCTAAAATATTCCACGTTTTCTATTCCCGAAAGTTGATTACATACAATACCAGATTGTATTATATATATATATATATATATATATATATATATATATATATATATGACCCAAATAATAAGTGCT